ATGATAAACATCACATGCAATCGAATAATAGTGACATGATATGGCCAGTATCATATAGCTCCTGTGATCTCCATCTTGGGGCTCCATGATCATCTTGTCACCGGCATGACACCATGATCTCCATCATCGTGTCTCCATGAAGTTGCTCGCCAACTATTACTTCTACTACTATGGCTAACACGTTTAGCAACAAAGTAAAGTAATTTACATGGTGTTTCTCAATGACACACAGGTCATACAAAAATAAGGACAACTCATATGGCTCCTGCCGGTTGTCATACTCATCGACATGCAAGTCGTGATTCCTATTACGAGAACATGATCTCATACATCACATATATATCATTCATCATTCATCACAACTTTGGCCATATCACATCACAGAACACTTGCTGCAAAAACAAGTTAGACGTCCTCTAATTGTTGTTGCAAGTTTTACATGGCTGCAAGAGGGTTCTAGCAAGAACGTTTTCTTACCTACGTTAAAGCCACAACGTGATTTCTCAACTTCTATTTACCCTTCATAAGGACCCTTTTCATCAAATCCGCTCCAACTAAAGTGGGAGAGACAGACACCCGCCAGCCACCTTAAACAACTAGTGCATGTCAGTCGGTGGAACAGGTCTCACGTAAGCGTACGTGTAAGGTTGGTCCGGGCCGCTTCATCCCACAATACCGCTGAAGCAAAATAAGACTAGTAGCGGCAAGAAAGTTGACAACATCTACGCCCACAACAAATTGTGTTCTACTCGTGCAAAAAGAACTACGCATAAACCTAGCTCTGATTCCACTGTTGGGGAATGTTGCAGAAAACAAAAAAAATTCTACGATTTCACCAAGATCCATCTATGAGTTCATCTAGCAACGAGTGATCGGATTACATCTACATACCTTTGTAGATCACGCGCGGAAGCGTTCAAAGAACGGAGATGAGGAAGTCGTACTCGATGTGGTCCAAATCACCAGAGATCCTAGCGCCGAACGGACGGCACCTCCGTGTTCAACACACGTACGGTCAGCGTGATGTCTCCTCCTTCTTGATCCAGCAAGGGGGGAGGAGAGGTTGATGAAGATCCAGCAGCACGACGACGTGGTGGTGGATGCAGCAGTCACCGCAGCAGGGCTTCGCCGTTCTTCTGCGAGAGGAAGAGGTGTAGCAGGGGAGAGGGAGGCGCCAAGAGTCAAGGGTGCGGCTGCCCCTCCCTCCCCCCTTTATATAGGCTCCCCTAGGGGGGGCGCTGGCCCTAGGAGATGGGATCTCCTAGGGTGGCGGCGGCCAAGGGGTGGAGTGCCCCCCAAGCCAGGTGGGCGCCCCCCCACCCTAGGGTTCCCAATCCTAGGCGCATGGGGTGGGCCAAAGGGGGCGCACCAGCCCACTATGGGCTGGTTCCCCTCCCCACTTCAGCCCATGGGCCCTCCGGGATGGGTGGCCCCACCCGGTGGACCCCCGGGACCCTTCCGGTGGTCCCGGTACAATAGCGGTGACCCCCAAAACTCTCCCGATGGCCGAAACTGCACTTTCTATATATAATTCTTCACCTCCGAACCATTCCGGAACTCCTCGTGACGTCCGGGATCTCATCCCGGACTCCGAACAACTTTCGGGTTACTGCATATTCATATCTCTACAACCCTAGCGTCACCGAACCTTAAGTGTGTAGACCCTATGGGTTCGGGAGACATGTAGACATGACCGAGACGGCTCTCCGGTCAATAACCAATAGCGGGATCTGGATACCCATGTTGGCTCCCACATGCTCCTCGATGACCTCATCGGATGAACCACGATGTCGAGGATTCAAGCAACCCCGTATACAATTCCCTTTGTCAATCGGTACGTTACTTGCCCAAGATTCGATCGTCGGTATCCCAATACCTCGTTCAATCTCGTTACCGGCAAGTCACTTTACTCATACCGTAATGCATAATCCCGTGACCATACACTTGGTCACTTTGAGCTCATTATGATGATGCATTACCGAGTGGGCCCAGAGATACCTCTCCATCATATGGAGTGACAAATCCCAGTCTTGATCCGTGTCAACCCAATAGACACTTTCGGAGATACCCGTAGTATACCTTTATAGTCACCCAGTTACGTTGTGACGTTTGGTACACCCAAAGCATTCCTACGGTATCAGGGAGTTACACGATCTCATGGTTTAAGGAAAAAATACTTGACATTGGAAAAACTCTAGCAAACGAACTATACGATCTTGTGCTATGTTTAGGATTGGGTCTTGTCCATCACATCATTCTCCTAATGATGTGATCTCTTTATCAATGACATCCAATGTCCATAGTCAGGAAACCATAATTATCTGTTGATTAACGAGCTAGTCAACTAGAGGCTTACTAGGGACATGTTGGTGTCTATGTATTCACACATGTATTACGATTTCCGAATAACACAACTATAGCATGAAAACAAAACAATCATCATGAACAAGGAAATATAATAATAATTCTTTTATTATTGCCTCTAGGGCATATTTCCAACATCGGGACCTCCCATTTAGTGCTGGTGAACGAGCCAACGTGCGCACTCGCTTCCCCACGAGTTCTTTTGGGCCGGACCATGTCCGGGTGGGACGCCATATGTTTTTTATTTCGTGCTTTTGCTTTTCGTTTTTTGTTCCCCCATTTTTTACTTATTTATTAAATTATTCCAAGATTTCAAAAAAGTTTATAATTCCAAAAAAGTGAATCTTTAAAAAATATTCAAGAAATTATAAAATGTTTGTGTATTTAAAAAATTGCATATTAAAAAATATCACATTTTTTAAAACAACTGTGAAATAAAAAATGTTTGTGATTTTGTAAAATATTTGCAAATATAAATAATGTTAATGAATTTTTGAAAAGGTTTGCGTAATTCAAAAGATGTTCATGAATTATAAAAAAGTTCATCGATTAATTTAATTACCATGAAATTTGAGAAGTGTTTGTGTATTTTTAAGAAAATAGTAGTCAAACAAAAAAATTCATGAACTTAAAAAATATTCAAGAATTTCGGATATTTTTGAAAATTCTAGAAAAATGTTCTCCAGCACATAAAAAATTTCACGTGTTTTTTTAGAAGTTCACAATCTAATAAATAGTCACGAATTCAAAATATGAATGCTCACAAATTCTAAAAATATTGATGATTTAAAAAATTGTTCAGTAATTTGAAAATACATCCACAAAATGAAAAACAAAAATAGGAAAAATGCATTTAAAATGGAAAAAAGGTAAATGAAGAATGAAATAAAAGGAAAAATTAACTTGAAAAAGTGAGAAAGGAAATGAAAAAAGGAAAGGAAAGAATGAACCTAAAATTACCAGAAAAAAACAAAAGAAAAAACACAAAAAAAGAGAAAACTCGGTCCAGGAACGTCCTAGACCCTTTTCATTTTTTTGAGGGGGTTCTAGAACCTTTTCAGAACCGGAAAGAAGCTAGCTGGGCCGGGCCAAAGCACGCGCACGGGTCGCACGTACGCGCGAAATAGGATTGGCCCACCGTACCATATTCCACGAAGCCCCCCGTGCTCGCTCGTCAAAAAACAAAAAAAAAGGCCGACCCCCAGAGCAAAATTCAGGAGCGCTTGGACTTGGCCGAGCGCCGGGGACAAGAGGCGGCAAAAACTTGCCCCGAAACATTTCGCCGTCCCGTCTCCTTCTCCTGCTCCTCCTCCCGCCTCCCGCGCGCCCCCCTCCTCGCCCCCGCGAGGCCGAGGGGATCGTCCGGCCGACCGGAGCCCTGGTCGACTCCGGTGGGCGCCCGCTCTCCGCGCCCCTCGGCTCCGCGCCTGGCTTTCGCCCCCTGCCCCGAGGCCGGCTCGCCGCCGGCGGATCCGTCGCCGGAGCTAGGGTTTCGCGGCATCGGGCGTCGCCGCCGCCGAGATCTAGGGTTTCGAGCTCAGGTGCGCCCCCTCCGCCCCCCTCGGGTTGCCTGGCGTGGTTGGGTAGGGTATAATTCGTGTGGTTTTGATGGGTTCTGAAATGTTAGGAGCGGAGTAGGATTCGTGGATTAGGTTTTGCGGTTCCGTTCCCGAATCCGCGCTTGATCCGCCGCCGCCCCTGACTCTTTATTCGAGCCGCGGTCAAAAAAGAGCGTCACTTCGCCATCGCCGCCCTCCAGTGCTGCGCGAAGGCAGGGTAAACCTTCTCCCCTTCCACGATTCTGGCTTGATTTCTCTGGTACTTAGGTGAGCGCGGAAACCCTGTGTTAACTAATGGATGGGGATGATGAGAGGGGGATTTATGCTTTGATAGGTATCCTTAATTCTCCCCTAGTTTCGGCGTGAACGAACTCGTCCTCAATTCTCCCCTGGTTCCAGCGTGAACGAATTCGGTTGTTGAGATCCACCGCCACCTGGGGCTTATGCATAGCTTGTTGTTGCATAACTGTGTGGTTGGTAGCAACCACAATTAGGGATCAGTTGTTTGGTTTATTGCCAATAAAATTCTGAACTTTTTGAATGGTGACCTGAATTTATTATTAAACCGGAACATTTCTTTTTGAACCCTAACTGGAACAAATATTATACTCCCTCCGTCCGGAAATACTTGTCCTAGAAATGGATAAAATGGATGTATCTATAACTAAAATAAGTCTAGATACAACCTTTCATAGGACAAGTATTTCCGGACGGAGGGGGTACCTTTGTTGGTGTAAGTACATAAAACAGTCAGTTTTTTGCTTTTGCTTGAAAGTTTGTGCTCATTCAGTATATACTCATTATCAAGTACAATTAAAAAAATCTTGCTAAATCAAATTAAAACATGTTCTTTTGATAGTATTTGAATTTAGTTTGATATACTTGCAAATTTTCTGATCTGAAACATATCTTGTATTGGACTTTATCAAATTGAGAAGAGTTATTATAAATTAAAGTCTAGAGATAGATTTGATTACCTTTTCCACAATTTATTACCTGCAGGAAAGGTGTAGGTTTCCTAGGGCTAGATCAATATTGAACCTGATAGCTACCACTGCTGACGAATATCACAAAATCATGAAAGCTCCCCAGCAGCACCGTAAACCAACTGATACAGAAGCAAAGGTCAAACATGGTGGCGATAAGTTGCATTGCCTGAAGCCAGGGAAATATACCAACAAGTCATCAGGTGATGTGTTAGTGTCCTATTCCTAATTTCTAGTAGTATATTACGTTTCTACTGAACTTCAGATCAGACAAATCAACCATTGAAGCAGAAAAGTAGGTGCTCGTTAGCAGCTACATTTGGACTGTAACAATCACATGTCCCTGTTAAGTTCTTAACCATATCACTTTTCAGGCAATATAGGGGCAAAGTGCAGAAGAGAAGATGGTCAATTGTTTACCGGCAGTAAGATTGCACTGAAGGGTGGTAGCTTTATGGAAGTACCATTTAGCAATTCGACAAACTTATCTGCTCAACCACCAAATTATTCTAAAAAGATGAAGCTTCAGTTTTTCCCAATAGATGAGGCGATTCAAAAGGTTCTACAGCAGGTGATTATCTCAGTTTTTGCAAGAGACTTTGTATAAGTACTGCATATAATGTGCTTTAAGTTCATGTTTCTTGTCTTATGGCTTGTTCCACCACTTAATTAACAGGAGAAACACAATCCTTACCTGGAGTTGACCTTGGCTCCTCGAAAGAAGATGTCCTCAATTGTGCAACATTTGAACACAAAATGGGGCCGTTCCAGCTGTGCAAAAGGCGAGCTCATGCTCTTCCCATATGGTGCTAGACCGGATAGCTTAGTTGGCAGTGAAAAATGGACTGTTAATGATTCTTGCACTGCTGCTGATGTTTATGTTGCTGTTGGCAGCCCTTCAACATTTCGCTTAAGGTTTGATTTCTTACCGAGAAATGGTTACCTTCGTCGTAATAATATATCTATGGAGGATGATTGTGTGCGTGTGTGCATACGAGTGCGTGTGTGTGTGTCTTTTGTTTAATTCTCTCTACATTAATGTAAGGTACTTTCAGATGATCATGATTTTGTATTTATTAGCATGTCATAAAAGAAATTAGCAATGATGGTTCATATTTGGAGTCTCGTCATGTCAAACAGCATGATATGAAAATCAAGCGGGCACAAAAAATTTCAACTAATTATCGTTTTGTTTACTTTAGGTATGGATGGTTTGAGCAACAAAGCAGCGAAGAATCTTTGGCACCCGTGCACTCTGCAGAAAAGACCATCGGTGACAAACCTTCAGATCATTTTGTGTTTCCAAACAAACCTTCAGATCCTTTTGAGTTTCCAAACAAACCTTTAGATCCTTTTGAGTTTCCAAACAAACCTTCAGATCCTTTTGAGTTTCCAAGCAAACATTCAGATCCTTTTGAGTTTCCAAGTAAATTTACCAGTCCATCCGATGTGTGTAACACAGAACAGACTGTGGTGGTGAGTATGCAATTTCATTTGATTTACAACAATGATGTCATTTGTACTTGAGACTTAATCCTCTTTGTATGTTTCCAAAATTAGGATAACCAAAGCAAAGTGACGCCTCTCTCATGGATAGACTGCATATCCAATATCAGTTTCGGAGCACTCTTATCACAGGCTGTACCCTCTCAAGACAGTAAACAACCGCCTTTGCAAAATAGCTCGATTCTCCAGCAGATTCCTGCTACGTGCGATTCATTTGATGCTGCTATTGCCTCCTTGATTGCTCACCAGCAAACAAGTAACCAACCGAAGGTCTCAAATCCATCTGTTTGGGATGCAGAAGAAACTTGTCATGCATTTCCCCGGAATCAAACTTCAGCCAGGATGTTCTCTTCAGCTCATGGCAACAGTAGTGCTATTACCTCGTCTATCCTGGGTGCAATTCCTGAGTCTGATACAGATGGCAACCAGGTAGCTGCTATTCCCTTGCTCTTGTAATGTTCTGTCTTCCAAACACAGTATGTGTTGCTTAATACCCTTTTCTTGCTGCAGCGTTGTTCTACTGAAGGCAGGAAAGAGGAATCAACCCCTCAGATACCAGGCTTGGGCAATAATGATAACGTGAAGCCAGATGAGCCAATGGTATCATTTAGGGCCTCTTAACAAACATTGATATCTTTGAGATGCTTTGTTTTGCTTTCTCGTCCAATTGCTGATTGGATTCTTATATATGTTCGCTTTCAGCCTGAATCGACCGGTGAGCCAGAGCTTGGGGCATTTGACTCTAGGCTTTTGAGTGGGACCGACAGTTTAGGTCTAAGCGGCTTGCTAGCAAACAGCTTGGATGCATTTCCGAAGTTCACTGTTTCGTAAGGCTCAGAAATTTACATCGAAGACCTGAAGTTATAGATCCTGTAAAGATCACCGTTTGGTTTCTTGCTTCAAGAACCAATTACTTTTGGGCTTACTGAAGCTGGTCGTGTAGATAATCAGTTAACGGCCCATCTTAGTCGCATAAACTTATTTCTTGCTGATCGCTCGCTCCTTGCGAGAACTCTGTATTTTCAAAATTGTCCATAATCTGCTCGGCTGCTTACTATTTTCTGTGCATCCTGTATTTCGTCAAATGTTTTACAAACAGATATTCTCTTTGAAACTTTGGACTTGAATATTTTTATGTAAAACCTGAGCGGGCTTACTTGTGAATGGCTTACTGAAGTTGATCAATTCTTCATCGTTACATTGCTTTGAAGTTGATTGTGCTTGCGCTTTTGTCATGAAAGAAACAGCTGCTTGAGAAGTTCAGTGGTATGTTGCTGAATGATGATATCAATTTTGTGTTATCATTCTGTCCATTATTTCCTGGAACTCACCTGTTGTCCTTTACTACAAGATACAAGATGTTGAGGAAGAGGCATATCGTGATGGCCTAGAAGCACAAGTTGCAAATGACGGCGTTTCCAGAGACAAAGAGAAGGGGTCTGAAGATTACTATCTTAGCTTCACTCAACTCTTGACGGTAATCTTGCCCAGATGGCTAGTTTACATGTCTAGAATTCTAGACATGACAACATGCAAAGGAGTTCTAACTTTTTTCTTCTTTCATTTACAGGGACCAGTTCCATATGATCTTTTAACCGGGTCATAGTGATGCACTTCTATTTCATGTCTTTCTATATTGTTCATTCTATAAAGAAGCAAGCAACCTAGGAGCATTTCCGAGTCACAAAGAAGCAAAGCAACCAGGAGCATTATTTTGCCTTCTTTCCTTTCGGGAGACCGAGGGAGGAGTACGCCAGCGTTGGTAGCGTGTGCGGCTGTACACCTGTGGCCGCCTTCTGTTCCGCGACGCGTGTTCCGCTGTACGCTAGCGAGCTGAGAAGACGGCGTCGCGATCCGGATTCAATACCCGTCACTACGGTACCAGCCATTTTCCCATCTGGATACGTACATTACATATTTATGGATACTGTTGGCCGTTGCGGATCGTTTTTAACTGGGAGATGCTGACGGACAAGTCTGAACAGACGCCATTTTCCCCACTTGTGAAGCACGATGTTTTAAAGCTCCCAGGGAATTTTTCAAGTCAAACAAGTTTGAAGGGATTTCACAACCGATCTGATCCTGGTTGCTTTGTTTGACCATCGGATCCCTTTTCCTCACCAACTTGCCTGGAGATCCGCAACCGCAACATGCGGCGCTTGCGTCGATGGTCAAATCTGGCGTTCCATCTAAGCGAAACTGACACTACTGCATACTTATCTCTCCGTTATTGTTATTGTTGTTGCTGCTGTGCCCATCAAAACTCGCTCATTCCATACCCTCCAAAAAAGCTCATCAACAGTTCAAATCCAAATCCCTCGAGAGATTGATCTTCCACACGCTTGTGTGTGTTAGAAGGGAAACATGTAACTGCCGCGTCAACTGCTAAAGTGCCACTACATGTAACCCGGACGTCGACGTCAGTAGACCTGTCACTACATTACTCTACTTGCACACTACTCGTTTCATAAGAAGAAAAGAAAGGAAAAATGCTAAGTATGTGGCTGATGCAACAACAATGACACAATATTGTATCAGTATCAGAGCATAGACTGATTTCCCCAAGTAACGAACAGCTAGCCAAGCTGCCGAACGGTAGGCCTAACAGAAGGGTTAACCTGCCACTTGGCAACCAGACAAAGATTCAATTAGCTTGGCCTAATGGAATCCCGTTCCAAACCAGTTAAGACGATAGACATTAAGATACAATACACACGCATGTACAGAGAGGAACTGGCACCAGATAAACCAAACGTGATTACAGGATGAGGCTGAGTCATGAACTCATGATCAACAAAAAGTACTTTCTGGTAGAGTTGGGGCCGCTTCGGCGATCATGATCGATCTCTTGATCCCAAAGTAATGGACACTCCATATGCAATGATGAGCACCGAGATCGATAAACCGGCAATGGAGCCTAAGCACGCGCCTAAATGTACTTTATGTTGTGAAAGAGAAAAATAATAGTGCACTACCGTGTCAAAATTCAGGTAACCTCGTAAATAAACAGTTTTTCTTTTAGACACGTCCAATTTCATGATCCCCATAAACATGTGATTAAGGCCTTTTTCGAAATGCTCAAATTGAGTGTAGCTAAGATGCTTAGGTTCCTTATGGTGGAACTAGCCCATCAGGTTTCAAGTCCTAAACTTAGCACTAGTGCTCGCATTTTCATGGATTTATTTCAGGTTTTCTGAAGATGTTCGTCCAGAGGGAGGAGATGTTCCCGTCAACTACGAAGGCGTCTGTGATGACTTCTTCAATCTCAAGATGTTGTGTCGGCTCTGTCTAAAACAAAGGAACACATGAATTTGGTAGCGGCGAAAAAAAAACCCTGCAAACAACGTGACTTGAGGACATTATCTACCACAATGGTCACATGACACCAGGAGCCAAAAGGCATTTTCCCGTTACAAGAAAGCTACATCTGAGCCATCTTGCAATTTGATCATGTCATGCCATTGGCACCATGAGTGGAGGAGAGCGGCTGGTTTGTTTGCTAGCCAGTTGGTGCCCTCTCCACTTCAAAGGGGTCTTCAAAATGTCAACTTCTATAGCCATGGACCACGATCCCAAATAATTCTCAACTTCTCATGATTGAGACAGCCTAAGATGTGTTTATCATCTCAGACCATTTAGTTGCAAATGGCTAAAATAAGCTGGAAATTCATGCCCTCTCTAACCATATGAATTATGACTTTTTCGCTCCACGCATAATGCTTGTAATCATTACGTTTTAGTGCAACGAATTGAGGATAGCTCAAATGGTTAGATTCCTTTTGCTGGAACCAATCCAACATGGTTCAAATACTAGACTTGACATTGGTGCACATATTTTTCTGGATTTATTTCAGACTTTTTGGCGATGTTTGCCTAGTGGGAGACGCCGACTACGACGCGCATGTGGTGATTTCATTCATAAGGTAATTGTATGTGCGTGTATGTGAGCATCTGCGATTGTACCGTGTCAAAAAATGTTTTAGTGCAAAAGACATTTTTTTGGGGGGAAAACATATTTGTTTGTTAGGAAAACATAAACAATTTCAAGTTCAAGTTTGCAAAGGGTTACATAGGCAATTTAAATAGAGATGGTGAGTTCATTACTCTAGACTCTGGCTGTATATATCAAAATCGTATCAAAACATATCTTCTGCATTATGAAAAACAAGCAAATAAAGGTCACGTTCTCTTCATTCCCATCATGCGACAGTTGTATGCATGGTCTTGGGGGTTTGAAATAGTAAAGACACACATGGCTTAGTGACAGCAAGAATTGATTGACATAGCTGTATTTTGAGGGTTTAGGGGGGAAGCACAACATGAAATGTCCAGCTATGATCCTTCACTCAGACGTTGCAACGAGATATTCTGTAATTGATGTCGTGTTTAGCAATGCTATTTTTAGAAGACATCTTAGGTGGTTGATGAAACATAAATATGAGATATTCTATAATTGACGTTGTGTTTAGCAATGCATTTTTAGAAGGCACTTAGCTGGTTGATGAAACATAAATATATATGCACGTTGAATCATATATCCATATAATGTATCACAAGCCCCGCGCAACATGTTTGTCATGAAACAAAAAATTATGTCGACGCTTACCCGACACTGTGATGTACGATGAGAACATCATGTTTCAAGTTGTTTCCATGTAACATTTTTCATGCGATGGAAATATAGTTTTCATGCAATGCAATTATTTCTGCGTGAGTAATTCGGTTTAATTTTCCAGGGTACTCCAGTCAGCTATGTGCTGTTAGATGATCAATTCCAGCCAGCTACTCTCACTTCATCAGAAAATAAATAGTCCAGTCAGAAATGTGTTGGTGCCATGCTAGCACAATATGAGTACTTATTATTTACACCCTTAAAAATAGCACTTATTTACTAGCAGTACTCACTTAATTAAGAAGATTCCCATCCTCGGCTGAAGAAGAAAAAGGAGAAGATTTCCATCCTAACCCAAGAAAAAAAAAAAGAACACCCACCGGCCACCTCTCTGCCCATCTACATATACGCGACCCACGACGGCGTCTCCCACCTCCCACAACCGCTCCGCTACCTCCTCTTCTTGATTCTCGCCACTGTCCCCCGCCCTCGCCATGGACGGCGCCGACAGCATGCGGTTCCAGCGGCAGGCCTCCTGCTCCTGCGCCCCCTCCATGTCCCGCGGCTACGTCCGCGGCGGCTTCGACCTCGACGACGACGACTTCGACGACGGCCACTTCGACAAGGCCGGCGTCGCCCGGCACGGGAGGGCGCCGCCCGCCGCCGCGTCGCCGCGCGGGTGCGGCACGAGGCTGAGGGGCCTGTGGCGGAAGATCGTCCGGGAGAAGAAGAGGATCCTGCTCTGCTCCACCGGCTGCGTGCCTGTCGGGGGCTCCTCGGCGGCGGCGGCGGCGCGGGAGCCATACGACGCGTACAGCTACGCGCAGAACTTCGACGACGGCGCGGCCTGGGTGGAGCCCGACAACCTCTCGCGCTCCTTCTCCGCGCGCTTCGCCGTCCCCTCCAGGGTCCTGCAGCGGGTCGCCGTGTAGGCACGACACGCCCCGCCGCCGGCGGCCGCGGCGGCGGCTGACCGTCGTTTCTTTTATTTCTTCCTCTGTTTCTTGTTTTCTTGTCTCTGTCTCAGTTTTGGAGTCCTCAACAACTGTGAAAAGGAATGTTCTTTGCCCACCTGTAAATGGTAGCCCCTCAATCCCAATATCATGATCAGCATCTGCATCAATCTTCATCGGTTTTGCCCCAAACCTTTATGAATCTCGCAGCAAGATGCAAGCAACTCACTCACATGTCTTGCAATGTTGAATCAGATATACATACTGTGATAATGATTTGCTTAGTTCCAACATCTATCAAGCATGTGAAAACAGTTTTGTTGCAAGAATCTACAGTAATTGCAAATCTCCCCAGGAACTGCTCATCACTTTTATGCTCTCTTTACAGATTTTACTCTGAACAATCTCATCCAATTCGAAGTGTGTGCGCAGCAATTAGGTGTAAAGTGCAGATAACCTAGCTTGGTCAAACATGTTTCTTGGTGATTAGGCGATGCGTCCGCACATGTGAAGTTGATTGGAGTCCTCCGTGTTCCTCTTTTTCAATGCACCAAACGCTTGCAAATTTGACCACCAAAAGGGATTTTCACAAAGACATGACAGCGAAATATCTGACCGTCTACAGGAAATTCACACACAACAACGACAATCTGGTGAAGCAAACTTCATTCCATTGACAGTTTTGCATCACAAATTAATAGAAAAACGGTCCTAGAGAAAACTCAGGATGGCTTTTAGGAGAGAGGATGGGGTTGGCATCACACGCCATTGTTGCCGACCTCATCTCTCTTTCGAAAGGCAGAGGTCGCAGTTAATCTAGCTCTTTAAAGTTTAAACCAAGAGGCAATCTTGTTGCCCGTCTCCATCAAAGAAAAGGGCTGTTCTTTTCGTAGGTTCACCACTTTGGCACCTTAATACTTTTTGTCTATTTGCAAGTGGATTATCACGTATACTTCCTTCGATTGTATTAAGGTTGAGACACTTATTTCGAAACGGAGGAAGTACTACTTTCTCTGTAAACAAATATAAGATGTTTTAGAGACCTGTGTCAAGTCTTTAAAACGAACCTAAAATTCCCAAATCTATCGAATGGCTCTACGGCTGCATTTGGTACTGCAGCGTATCATGAATTTATAATATGTCATGAGTAAGCAAGCGAATAATTTTATAGGAAAATAAGAATGCTATTGGGATTAAGTGGGACCTACACTTTATTGTAGCGAGATAGAGGGATAGCTGACATGTTGGTCTATAGGTATTTTCGACATTATAACATGTCAAACAAGATTTGAGATGACAGTAATGGTGTCCAGTGATATTTTTTAACATGCGCCTAACGAAGCAATGGCATTTTTGAGCAATTGAAATTCTTAATGGCAGAACTGAGTAGTGAGATGTAACCAGTGGCATAAATGATAAATAACTATAATAATAATCCAATTCCACTTGTTCCAAAGGTTTTTCCCCTGTTTTAGCTGATGTTTGCTCTTCCATTTTTGCCTACTTTTGTGACTAACTTTCTACACCAATTTTTTACAAAAAAGAATACAGTAAGAAATCATTCGACAATTCCCCGCAAAAATAAATAAAATCCGACAACAACCGCAAACTGAGCCTGATTGAAGCAAATAAATACTCTATATGACAATTGCACATGGAGATGATCCAGGTTTTTAACTCCTAATAACGTTCATGAGGCCTACTGTCAGGTACGCTGGATCTCTGCTCTCTGTGATCCATGCTCTGCTCTCGATCTCTCCAACAAAGATAATGAATGCAACGAGACCATGTACAACGAACGAAGAGCAACGCATGCGTGCACTCGGGTCATGATCCATTGCACACCAGGATACCACATTCTCTAGTATCGATCGATCTCATGTACTGATATGTTTCAGATACCAGGGCCGGCTACAGTCTTCGAGTAAAATTCGCTTGTCGAGTGTCATGTACGATGCATCTGCAAGTGCCCACCTTTGCTTGAAGTGGAAGATCGTGCCGAGACAATGTAAGCTCTGCAGGTTGCATACGTTGAACTGTTTTTAGCGTGAAATTTACTAATATGAGGTGGTCGAGGTACATGCATGCATCTTATATACAGTAAAATAAAAGTTGCGAAGAGCGCCATCCTATACTGTTCGGCTCGGCGAGTTTAAACTTGGTTGGGGCCGGACACGTTTGAGCGTTTGACCCTTCACTTAATTTCAACACCAAACATCTTTGGTCTTTGTCACGTCAAAAAATTATGACCAGTGACATGGCGGTGGTTGTAGTTTTTTTTTTCCTCTGACAACCCAGTGACCACAAAAGAGATTTTTATATGAATATAATAGAGAGAAAATTAAAATAAATACCAGAAAGATAACCGTTGGTGCAATAATTTGTATTCTTATGTTTTGGAAATTGCTGTCAAAAACAGTAAAGACCTGATGTGTTTACTAGTGCACATATAGTAACAGGTCCCTGAAGTCATGAGGCGTTTGGTACAAACCCCGAAGATAATCTCTTGCGTGGCAGCGAGGATTATCACCGAAGATTATGCTGTCAAGAGTGACCCCAAAAATATGTTGACGCAAAGCTACTGGTTCGGTGTCTGTCCGAAGGAATTGACTGCAGCCGAGAAGTTGAAGAAGAAATGAAGACGTACCATTTATTTCGTTCTTCTTCTTTCTCTTTATTAAGTCATAGGACCACCGTACTATTAGGAGGGATATATGTTGGGGAACGTTGCAGAAAACAAAAATTTTCCTACTCGTTTCACCAAGATCATCTAGGAGTTCATCTAGCAACGAGTGATTAGATGCATCTACATACCTTTGTAGATCGCGAGCGGAAGCGTTCAATAGAACGGTGATGATGTAGTCGTACTCGACGTGATCCAAATCACCGATGACCAGCGCCGAACGGACGGCACCTCCGCGTTCAACACACGTACGGAACAGCCACGTCTCCTCCTTCTTGATCCAGTAAGGGAGGGAGGAGAGGTTGAGGGAGATGGCACCAGCAGCAGCACGACGGCGTGGTGTTGATGGAGCTGCAGTACTCCGGCAGAGCTTCGCTAAGCACTATGGAGGTGGAGGAGGTGTTGGAGAAGGAGAAGGAGAAGGAGGCAACCAAAGGCCAAGGCGTTCAGGTATGAAGTCCCTCCTCTTCCCCACTATATATAGGAGGGCCAAGGGGGGGTGGCCGGCCCTAGGAGATCCAATCTCCTAGGGGGTGCGGCGGCCAAGGGGGGGTTTCCCTCCCCCCCAAGGCACCTAGGAGGTGCCTTCCCCTCCTAGGACTCTTTCCCCCTTAAACCCTAGGCGCATGGGCCTATGTGGGGCTGGTGCCCTTGGCCCATTAGGCCAAGGCGCACCCCCTACAGCCCATGTGGCCCCCCCGGGACAGGTGGACCCACCCGGTGGACCCCCGGGACCCTTCCGGTGGTCCCGGTACAATACCGATAACCCCGAAACTTGTCCCGATGCCCGAAACAGGACTTCCCATATATAAATCTTTACCTCCGGACCATTCCGGAACTCCTCGTGACGTCCGGGATCTCATCCGGGACTCCGAACAACATTCGGGTTACTGCATATACATATCCCTACAACCCTAGCGTAACCGAACCTTAAGTGTGTAGACCCTACGGGTTCGGGAGACAAGCAGACATCACCGAGACGACTCTCCGGTCAATAACCAACAGCGGGATCTGGATACCCATGTTGGCTCCCACATGCTCCACGATGATCTCATCGGATGAACCACGATGTCGAGGATTCTATCAACCCCGTACCTATTCCCTTTGTCTATCGATATGTTACTTGCCCGAGATTCGATCGTCGGTATCCCAATACCTCGTTCAATCTCGTTACCGGCAAGTCACTTTACTCGTACCGCAATGCATGATCCCGTGACCAGACACTTGGTCACTCTGAGCTCATTATGATGATGCATTACCGAGTGGGCCCAGTGATACCTCTCCGTCATACGGAGTGACAAATCCCAGTCTTGATCCATGTCACCCAACAGACACTTTCGGAGATACCCGTAGTCTATCTTTATAGTCACCCAGTTACGTTGTGACGTTTGGCATACCCAAAGCACTCCTACGGTATCCGGGAGTTACACGATCTCATGGTCTAAGGAAAAGATACTTGACATTGGAAAACTCTAGCAAACGAACTATACGATCTTGTGCTATGTTTAGGATTGGGTCTTGTCCATCACATCATTCTCCTAATGATGTGATCTCGTTATCAATGACATCCAGTGTCCATAGTCAGGAAACCATGACTATCTGTTGATCAACGAGCTAGTCAACTAGAGGCTCACTAGGGACATGTTGATGTCTGTTATTCACACATGTATTACGATTTCCGGATAACACAATTATAGCATGAATAAAGACAATTATCATGAACAAGGAAATATAATAATAATGCTTTTATTATTGCCTCTAGGGCATATTTCCAACAATATAGAGTTCGAAACATTGAATTTCTGATGCTAAAACCAATCCTATGTGAGTTGAGAGAAAAATCTCTTTGTGTTTCGTGCAAATACTTGGCCAGCAAGATACTGTGTTTTTCGCTGCGAGAGATTTGTCTCTGACCGGAGAGTTAGCACTACTTATCTTACATTCTTAAGAAGATGGTCCCAATTTTCTCAACATGTAAAGTGTCCATCTCAACGTCCTCACTAAGGCCACACATTTAAGTCTCTCCCACTAAGTCATGCAAAGTCTGCCACATAAGAAAACTTATAAATTACAATTATTTTTTGCATTAGTCTATGCATGTAACGCTGCCATATCATACATGCATGTAAGTCATCCTTCAATTTTTTGTTCAAAATGATATTTTTAACAGTAATTCATAAGTTTTATTAATTGTCAAGCTTATATTTTCTTTTCATTAGATTTAGTTATTTTTAGCAACTATTTACGCATTTTTTAACAAAGTTACCGTAGCAACGCGCGGGGTATGATCTAGTAC